TTATTATTATTATTATTATTATTATTATTATTATTATTATTATTATTTATTATTATTATATAATAACAACGTTCAAGTCAAAATCATACAAAGAACAATCGAGATCTTTTGAAGTCAAATTCAAATAACGTTTTAACAAACTGCATCACTGTTTGGTTTGGTGGCAGCTGTGCCTCAGATAGAAAGCCCCTACAGAGAGTGATGAGGGCAGCCGAGAAGATTATAGGAAGCTCACTTCCCTTTATTCAGGATACTGCTTATAAGCGTTACGTGCTTAGAGTTCAAAGCATCGTTAGAGACCCTACACACCCACTTCACCGTCTGTTTCTGTTGATCCATCTGGGAGGAAGTTTCAAAGTATGTCTAGCAGGACTATCCGATTCTGTAACAGCTTTGTTCCCTAGGCCATCCGTCTGATAAACTAACAAGATTCATTTTTCTCGCCATGTACATATACAGTATATATCTGGACTAGACTGCGTTGTCTCTTCATGTCATATATGTAGGTAAATGCATAATTTTGCATTTATTTATTTATCTTGTTGTGTTTATATTGGAGGTATTGACCCTTTAAGAGCTGTAGGCAGCGACATTTCATTTTTAATATATGCCAATTAGTGTACATTCAAAGTGACAATAAAGTTATTGTTCTCTTCTATTTCTATTTCTATTCAACTTTATTGTGGTTGTTAACCAACAGAGTTCTCTGAAATATAAACCTACCTCATAATCCTCCACTTCTAAAGTTTGGCACAAGTTTCAGTAAGCTTGGCACTCAAAAGCCTGTGGAGCAGTATTTCTCAGCCTGGGCAGCTTGAAGAGGGGGTGGACTTCAACTCCCAGAATTCCCCAGCTGGGGAATTTGAGAGTTGAAGTCCACCAACTTCAAGCTGCCAAAATTGAGATACTTGAGATAGAAGCCTTCTTCCCAGGATTCTCTGCCAAGCAACGCTGACTCCAAGATAAAGCCTGCTGTGTAAAATGAAGCAGTTCTTAATTTGACTTTGACCTTATTGCTGTGTTTTGTTTACACACTGAGCTTGTTTGCCTACTGTGGTTTATTAGCCAACTTTGGGACACACAGCTAATAGCTGACTGTGGCAATGCGTGACCCCAGCTAACAATGACTTATTGTGGAGCGAGTTCAATGTGTGAATTCAGTCCTACTGCAGATACAACCTTATAGGGAAGTTTTTTCATTTCGAAACTGAACTCTGTAGTCAAATCTCTATTTGTTTCCAAGAACAAAGGTCCCTTCCTGTTTCTTGTTACACCTGGTTGGAAAAAGAAAGAACTTGTTGGGGATTGCTGGCAGCCGGTGCAGACGGCAGCGGACAGTGGGGAAGAACGGGGACCAGTCTGGGAGTCTGGAGTGGACTCAGACGAGGGTCCTCTGTCCAATGCAGAGATGGAGCCAGGACCATCTGGGAGTCAGGTGCTGCCTTCAGAGCCTTTGGAGTCTGGCAGCAGCGAGGAAGAGGAACCAGGGGAGCCTGTTCCCAGTGCGTGTGTGCACCGAGCTGCTAGAAGGCAAGAGCAGCTGAAACAAAATGGGCGACTCAGGATAAAAGTCAGGCCAAGATGACGAAAGTAGTCAGGCCAAGATGACAAAAGTCAGGCCAAGATGACGAAAGCAGGAAGCAAAGTAGTTTGATTGGTTCCAAGTCATCCTTGAAGCTCTCTGTACTTTGGTTGGCTTTTTTTGTACTTCGGTTGGTTTCTTTTCTAGTTCATTTGCTACTTCTGTTTTTTGGCAGCACTTCACAGAACTGAAAGGTGGGTGCTTATCTCAGGGGACTATTTGAGATTAATTCTGGCTGGGAATGAAAACAATTCCCAGCGTTGCAATAAAATAAGTCTTGTTTTTAAAATAAGTTTGTGCAAGATTATGGTTTAGGAGGCCTGGGTCAGAACAGAACTTCTGCTTTGCTGGTTACTGTAATACAGGCCATTGGGTTTGTAAACGTATGAGATTTGTCTTGCAAAGAAGCACATGAAAACTGGAAAATGACCACAAAGGGCCATTTTATTAGGCTGTGCAATGATCCACAGTCAGAAGGGAAATCCAGATTTAGCGCACAGGGAGGTAGAGGCATAATCCCTGCAGACAACCCTAAAATGAAACCCAACTGAAATTCTACAGGGAAAGGCAGGGAATCACAAGGATGTTTCCAACAAAAGAGAATTATTTGTAGCTCTGGGTTGAACTGTGGGGTCCTCTCTGAGCTTTCCTGCAGATGTTTCAATACCCAACTAGGTAGCATCATCCACGCTAGAAGGGAGTGGGGTTTGCTCTCTGTATAGAAAGGGCAGGGATATAAACAGAGAGCGAACCCCACTCTTTTCTAGGACGGATGATGTTACATGGTTGGGTAATGAAATGTCCGCTGGAAAACAAGCAAACAAGCAGGAAAACATCAAGGACCTCACAAGGATGTTTGCCATCTAGTTTTCACACAAGCCAATGCTTTGGGCTTCCTTGTTGCACCTGTTCTCCTCCCGCTCTCCCCTTTCAATTCCTCAACACACAAGACTTGTAAACCAGTCTTAATATACCTCTCTCATTCATCTGAGTCTCTAAAAAGGGAACACACCTTGGAACTGAAAGAAGAAAGGGCCAGGTGAAACAAGACTCCGTATTCATTTCGTTTCCAAAGGGCAGGGTGCCTATTGAATGGACAGCTTTGTTGCGGGGCAGCGCCCAGCTTTTTTGTGCCAATGGCTAAGTTGTTTTTATTTGCCCCAGAGATCAAATGATGGCAGGTGTTTGGGTCCAAAGATGCAAACTTTCGTAGAGAAGCAAACCCACCAAAGGCTCAGACAACTGAAAGACCATTCTGTCCTCTTTAAGCTCTTGAACTCCCCTGCACTGCAGTCAAATTAAAGCATCCAGTTTCTCTTTTTAAAACCAAAAGGAAGGAAGGAAGGAAGGAAGGAAGGAAGGAAGGAAGGAAGGAAGGAATATGGAGGCAGGATAATCTCTTACCTCATCTGGATTTAGCAGCTCGTATTTCCTTATTGTCTTTTCATAGATCACATTATTCCCTCCTCTCAGAAGTGGAGACAGTGGTTCCTGTAAGTAACAAAGCAACTCCTTATTTACACACAGGCTTCTCATAGACTGCACAGCATCTGACTTTACAAAATGATTCGGGGACTGGTGACTAAAATATACCATGAATGGTTGCAGGAACTGGCATGGCTAGTCTAGTGAAGAGAAGGACCAGGGGAGACATGAGAGCAGGTACCTGGAGAGGAGTGACTGGACGGATGTCTCCAGTTGGGACAAAGATTTGATTTGGCCGTGTGATGGACTGATGGGTGCAGGGGATGGATCTTTGAATTTCTCTTGGGGAAAGGGAAACCTGGAACTTTCAGATTCGGGTTTTCCCAGAATATGTCAATATGACAACTCTAATAAATTCTTACTTGGCTGGACTTTGTTTCTGAGTGCTGAATGAACATGGGGAGTTTCGTTGGAACGCTGACACCAAGCTTATTTGAAGAGAGAACTCTAGAGGCCATGTGGAAAATGAGACTGAAATGTCCCACATGCTATGGACTTTTGATGCTGCCTTTATATTCTTCATGGATAAATCTCAGCATATAAAAGAATCCAATAAAGATTTAATAAACTAGGATCTAGGATTCACCCACAACAGAATAACAAAATTGGAAGGGACCTTGGAGGTCTTCTAGTCCAACCCTCCGTTCAAGTTCCAGGGAAGGATCATTTAGATCTCAATGCTTGTGGATTGAAGAAACGAGACCACAATTGTCTTCACAACAAGGATCTAGAATTAAGTGTAGTGGCATAGAGGATTTTCCAAAGGTTTTTTTTTTTTTTTGGCTTCTAACATTTTTGGAAGAAATGTATTGATTCAGGATTTTCTAGAACATCCACAATGCTTTCGGCTGCCGTGGCTCAAGAGCAGTAAATGGAAGATCAATTGATCTTTGAATCAATGTGTTGCGCAAGTTTGAAATAACCCTGCTGTCGAAATAGACAAATTGACAAAGGAATTAAAAAATAAGGACGAATCAGATTACTACAAAATATGGGATAACTTTTATGGTTGGTTAGAAAAGAGGAAGGATCAAAACAATAAGAAAAGATTAAATGTGTGTGTGTGTGTATAAATTATATATATAGAAAGTAAATTTGTAGGATTTTTATATGTGAGTTAGCAATGTAAGACAAATATGTGGGTTAGGACGATTGCACCATGTTCGATGTTTTTAATGTATTTTTTTTGTTTTTGTTTGTGTTAATAAACAAATTAATAATAAAATCTTTATTTTAAAACAAGAAATAACCCTGCTATCCTTCCAAACTTGTGTGTGTGTGTGTGTGTGTGTGTGCACGCAATTGTAAATTTCTACATGCACATAACTCAAATAACTTTATTACAATAGAGGAAAATATCTGTAGCTCAGGGTTGAACAGTGAAATCCTAGTTGCTCTCTGAGGTTGCTCATTTGCTTGCGGATGTTTCATTACCCAACTATGCAACAACATTAATGCAATGATAACGTTACTAGTTGGATAATAAAACGCCTGCAAACATTCAAGTTCAGAGAACACCAAGAACTCCACAATTTTATTTCAGCCATAAGGCCTGGGGAAAAAGATACACAGGTAATCCTCAACTTACAACCAACCACGTTTGAGCCCAACATTTCTTTTGCTAAGCAAGACATTTGTTAAGAGAGTTTTGCCCCTTTTACAACCATTCTTGCCTCCGTTGTTAAGTGAATCACTGAAGTTGTCAAGTTAGTCACATGGTTGTTAAGTGAATCTGGCTTCCCCATTGACTTTGCTTGTTAGAAGGTCGCAAAAGGGAATCACATACCCCAGGACACTGAAAACCATCACAAATATGAGTCAGTTGCCAAACACCTGAATTTTGATCATGTGATCAAGAGGATGGTACAACGGTCGTAAGTGTGAAAAACAGTAGTAAGTCACTTTTCAGTGCTGTAGTAAATGAATGGTTGTAAGTCAAGAACTCCCTGTATATGAGAGAGTGTGTGTGTGTGTGTGTGTGTGTGTGTGTGTGTGTGTGTGCCCTGCCCTGATCTCTTCTCTGCCCCCATTGAGTCCCAGCTGATCAGCTGGGTCTTCTTTGGTTGCCCTGCACTGGAGAACGGAGCTGCAAAGCAGGTTAGTGGGGTGGGGAGGGAATGGAGATTTTACAGTATCCTTCCCCTGCCGCGCCCACCAAGCTACGCCCACAGAACTGGTAGTAAAAAAATTTGAATCCCACCACTGATATAGATCCATTTATACAGTGGAACTTCGGGGAGCAAACACTTCTGTTCACGACCAAATCGGCTGACGACCAAATTGTTCGAAGTTTTGTTTCCGGTTGCAGACACATCTTTGGGTAGCAACCAACACCGCCGCAGGGACTTCCCCTATGGAGCTATTTCTTTGGGGGGTGGGGGTTCCGCGCATGCGCAGTCCATCATGCTTACGGTCACGACCAAATTGGCTTGCAACTGAAGTTCTGGACTGGATTACGGTCGCAACCCGAGGTTCCACTGCACTTCAGCATAGACACACAAATACTGAAATCTCCTTCCAACAACATCTTACGCCCGATGCCATTGTAACCACAGTACAGCTTCCCTACCTTCTCAGGGTTCTCCAAGATAATCCTTCGCATGCTGCCCTGGGAATAAGGGGACAATTTCAGGGATGGAGATGGCACTTCCTGCAAGAAAGCAAATGCGTCGTTACTATTTTTTTTTTAATGAGGAACATCATTCCATATTGTTTTGTTCTTCGTCTTTTTCTTGCGCCCTATCCGTCATCGGATGCTGGTGATCATGTTGGCGATCCTATTTTGATCAACAGCTGCAAGAAAAAGAGCTGTTGTGTTTTGTCCAAATCAATCCCTTAAGATTTTGAAGCCATAACGATGTTCTTCTGCCTGAACCTCGTTTGCCTTCGATCTTTCCCTGAAGGATTAAGTGAAGGATGGCATATTTTTCCAGGTGTCGCATCACATGTCCAAAATAGTCTAAATTTTGCTTTTTTTTTTTAATGGTTTGGATTATTTCCATTGGCTTTCCCAGGTAGCTTATCACCTTCTCATTTCTGATAACCCAACTGATATGTAACGGCTGCCTGTAAATCCACATTTCAAATGCTTCTAATCTCTCCAAGTGGTTTTCTGTCCAGAGACCAACTCTCCGCTCCGTAGAGCAGGATAGAAAACATGGAATTGTTTTGTTAGAGAAGAAAATAAAAACAGAGCTGAAGAATATGGACCTCTGGGAAATTACAGAGCACCTTCAGCAGATTCCTTGGCTATCTAGACATTCTTCAGAATGAATGAGCTGGAAGAGACCTTGAAGTTCTATTGCTACATCTCCCAAAATCCTTCTCTGGCTGAGGCTCTTGGGAATTGTGGTTCAGTCTTTATAGATGGAGGTGTTTTGCCTACATTGGACTTCTGAATAGATCCTGGACAACTAAGGACCCAGAACACTATTTTATTCAACCTGATATACTGGATCCAATTCTCATGATCCCTTAAGTTTCACACAGGCTGGGAAATTATGAGAGCCGAAGTCCTACACAACCGTAGAAGACCAACTTGGGGAATACGTAAGCAGGCAACAGGCTGCATAAATAGTCTAACAAGTCTGATATTGAATTGCTGGTACAGAAATTTACCCTTTAGCAAACGAATGCATTAAACAGACTCTTTAAAGCGTTACCATATCTCCCTGGTGTAACAATTATCGCAGCCTTTCATGGCCTACCTAGGGAAAGTGATGAAAATCTGTTGACATAACCAGAAAACGGGAACTGCATTCCCAAAGCAAATTATAAGGCTTGTTAAGACAAAGTTGCAGATCATGTGGTTGCTTTTTTTTTTTTTAAGGTGGAGTTGATTTCATCACTGAAAATGTTTAGCGCTTAACTAGCTGATAAATTTGACAACCCAAATGGACCTCATGGGAGGTTCTGACAAACAACCAGTCTCAAGACTGGTGTCAATGGTTCTTGTCTCAATGGTGCTTTCTCCAAAAGGCAATTAGACTTTCCTAGGTTTTTTTTTTTTCCTTTGAAAATGATTTCATCCAAGAAGCTAATTCGGTTCAGAACTGAAAAAGCTTCTTGGATGAGAAGTGAAAAGTTTTCAGAGAAACAAACCAAGAACTGAAGAAGCTTCTTGGATGAGAAGCAAAACGTTTTCAAAGAAAGAACCAAGAACGTCGAGTTGCCTTTTGGAGAAAGACCTTTGGGACAGCCATGACCTGAATGATTGAGAATCTCCCTAGACATTGCAGAAATGTGAAGAATACACAAATGTGAATACCTTGGAGATTATTCCTATGGGTGACAAAGAATCAACAAAAAAGGAAATGTCTCAACAGAAGATCAGTGTGCGGAAATTTATTTATTTAAAAGATGTATATGGCCACCCATCTTAACCACAACAACACAACATGCACACATACATACATACATGCATACACACACACACACACACACACACACACACACACACATATCAATCATAGAACAGTAAAAACAAAAATTATAAAACAGAAATCTTGCACCTGGGATGCCCCTTGGCAAGCTGCAGTTGTGATAAACTACAGCAAACATTGCCTTTAATAACATTTTGGGATAAACAGTGCCTTAAATAATGTTTCATTGTGACTATTCATTTTGCCCTTCAAAGCATTTTTTTCCAACAAGCCGGATGCTGTTGATTTATTGCTTCTATATTATGGGTGGAAGAACCAATCCTTTTCTTAGGTAAAAAGGAATTCAAATGAGATCAGTGGATCTCACAGAAGAACGAATCCTTATCTTTCTTTCTAAGCAAAATGCCTGAAGGAACTTCTCATGCTACTTCGAAAAAAATAGATGAATCAGGGGAAAAGACTAGATATAGAACAGACACCCTTCTCTGTGTGTCATTTACTATAAGTTTAAAAAAAAACTCTGTTACAACTGTCACTGCTGAATTGACACATAGCAATGCAGATACTGTACCTTCCCTTTACCTCCTACGGTGTGATAATAAAACCTATTATTAATCGAAGTGGGGAAAAACAGGAAGAGAATGCCAGAGGAAACATCTATGCAAGACAAGGTAGTTCAGTGGTAAAAGCTAGGCATTCAAACTTTGCTGTTTTCACTTCAAAGGACCAAGTTTCAAATATTGGAAAAGACACGTTTAAAGATCTGGAGAGAATATTGAATAACAAGGAACACAAAGATCATAGAGTCATAGGGCTGGAAGGCACCTTGGAGGTCTAATCCAATCCCTGCTCAATGCAAGAGAACTTATTCCAACCAGGTCAAATAGTTGACCAAACTTTTTTTAAAAAAATCTCCGTAATGGGAGCATCCCAACCTGTAGAAGTCAAGCTGTTCCACTGATCAATTTTTCTCCCTATCAAAAAAAACCCAAAAACCTTTCCTAGATTGGATTTCTTTTTAACAAGCTTTCACTCATTACTTTTGTATGGTATATGATATATTCTAGATCAGGGATCTCCAATCTTAGCAACTTTTTAAGACTTTGCTAGCTGAGGAATTCTGGGAGTTGAAGTCCACAAGTCTTAAAGTTGCCAAGGTTGAAGACCCCTGTTCTAGATGATATCCTGTGATAAGCCACGGAAGAATGATCTAAGCTCCTGTGAATATATCCGTTTTCTGAATTCCTTATTTGAGAGCACACCTCCCTCTGAATCGACTCTTTAAGCATGCAAATTATGTCATTTGATGTCCTCAGATATTTTAACCTCAACACTCCTCAGCCACGACAAGCATGGTGATATGGTGCTAAGAAGCTCCACGTTTCTGGTGGATATCAAATGGTTTACTCCTGACCTATGGAATCCATCCCAATTTTTGCCTTAGCAGCAGACAATCATGCCCAGCTAAAAATCATGAGCCTGATTGTCCAATACTGTGGGGTTTTTTTTCTTCTTCTTTCATTAAAATATGGCCGCATTTACGTTTACCAGAATGTGCCGGATCTCTACATCTATTCCTCCAAATCTATTGCCATAGGTAACAATACAAACTAATGAATGCGATGGATCAATGAATGGACAAAAATGATTGGATGCTAACAGCCTGTCAACCCTGAAGCTGACCTGACCGAAGCCATTTTAAGGCTTCGGTGTTGCCACACTGGAGGTGAAGGATAGCGAGTGGGGAATAGAGATAGCTGGGGTTTGTCACAGAGCGGGTATTCAGCTGGTTCTGATCAGTTCCGGTAGTGGAAATTTTTGAGTAGTTCGGAGAACCAGCAAATACCTCCTCTGACTGCCCCCCCCCCATCTATTCTCTGCCTCCCATTGACTCCCAGCTGATCAGCTGGGTCTTCTTTGGTTGCCCTGCATAGGAGAACGGAGCTGGAAAGCAGGTTAGTGGGGTGGGGAGGGAATGGGGATTTTGCAGTAACCTTCCCCCAGGAGTGGTGAGGGAATGCAGATTTGACAGTACCCTTTCCCTGCCACACCCGCCACGCCACGCCCACAGAACCAGTAGTAAAAATATTTGAATCTCACCACCGATTTGTCAAACTAAAATACTTTCTTCTGGGAACCAAGGACAGGTGGTGGGGCGGGAAGAGTGAAGTTACCAGGCAATCGGGTGGCACCTTCATTTTACCATGTGATGGATTTTTTATTTTGGAAAGGATAAAAACTTTTACTTTTAATTAGCTGAAAACCGTGGAAACATCCAGTCAGTTTTCCCCAGTTTGTGCCAATTTGACACACCAAACTAACTATTTTTGAGGAATCATCCTACCTCGGAGTTCTATTTGCTAGGAGCGTGTGTTCCCTGGAACACTGACACAGCCAAAATCCTAGTTGAACTCAAACTTATTTGACAATTGCTTACCCCAATACTCCTTATACTGTCTGGCATGAAAGATTAGATACCACCCCATAGCATTTTGCAGCCATTTTCAATGTAAAGGCATTATTTGCATATTGCCCTGCACAATCTGGGTCCTCATTTTATGAACCTCAGAAGAATGGAAGGCTGAGTTAACTTTGAGTCGGTCAGAATCAAACTCCAGACTGTGGGCAGAATTTTCCTGCAATACTGCACTTCAACCGCTGTGCCACCAGGACTCCTAGTGGATATAATTTAAGTTCACAAGGGTAGCATTCCATAGGAAAATGATTCAATTCAGCACCTGGGTTTAAAGCGCAGGCAGTTCTCAACTTATGACCACATGAGCCCCAAATTTCCATGGCTATCCAAGGTACTTCTTGGATGCATTTGTGCAGAAGGTAGCCCATTATTCTTGGGTTCCTCACCATACGGTTGCAACCGGCAAGCAACTTCAGTTGGTTGACAATATTGCGAAGGAAACAATGGGCTTACAAAGAAGTGAAGGCCCAGAAGACTTCTTAGTGCAAACATTTCCTCAAATCTGGTAGCATCACTAATAGGCAGTTTAGAGGGATACCAAAGTAACAGTTGGTCTTCTAGTCCACCCCACTGCTCAAACAGAAGTCCCTATGCCATTTCAGATAAGTGGCTGTCCAGTCTATCCTTAAAAGCCTCCAGTGATGAAGCACCCACAACTTCTGAAGGTGAGCCATTTCATGGACTAATTGTCCTCACGGTCAGGAAATCGCTCCTTAGTTCTAGGTTGCTTCTCTCCTTGATTAGTTTCCACCCACTGCTCCTTGTCTTGCCTTCTGGTGCTTCGGGTAATAA